TGGCCACCCCAGGAGAATTCAGACCAGCTTTGCATTTCAAGGCTGAGAGGCTCCAGCACGAGCCAGGCGCTTGCCGTGAAGAAAAAAAACAAACCTAGCAAAAAACCTACACGTGCAGGTGGCAGCTCTGACCTTAAAACTTCCCTCCTCTGTATTTGCTGATCCGCACATGTTCAAATACTTACCTTTCTCAATAACACAAACCAGGATGAAATCCAGTCTAGCAGCTGTTACTGGACTGCTTCTCATTCCCTCTGCCCCTCCAGAATCTTTTATGACCCTGCACAAGCATAGGGTTTGGTGACACCACAAGGGATGTTCTGCTTCAAGCCTCCAACCATTTCTGAACTCGCTTTAAGCCGGATGCATTAGCAACAGGAGAGAAAACCCAACGCTGGTCTTAAGTTCTTTGAGGAGCTCTGCTGTAACTCAATTGCTCGTTACATCAGATACAGGTAAAAGGTCCCCAGTTCATTCAGACAACAAACTGCACTCACACAGACTTGGCTAGATGATGGCTACTGATCTGTTTATCTCTACCTACTTCTGATCCTAGGGTTTTATTCTCATAATTCCTTTGGATCAAGACCGTTCCATCCCCAAGAGAAGCTCCATCTACCAAGTAGGACCTCTGCTTCCTCCAGAGGAGCTCTGATCCACGGATTTAGTGTCAGTTATGCCAAAGGAGATAAGACACCAAGAACAAAAGGCATATCAAAGAAAGGCTGACACAACCCCATACAACATGCAAAACAATAGGAAAAAAACCATTTTCAAACAGGTGCAGGCTGAGTTAGGAGGGAGAGGAACAAGCCAACATCACCTTGAACTTCCAAAGGTTCTTTCCTACGCTCAAGGTAAAAAGACCAGAGATCCTAAAGCTTTTCAACTGCACAGCCAAAGACATAAAACTGCTTGGCTACATTATACAAGCCCTCGCCTCTTGCTCTGCTACCCGTTCCAGGCTATCAGCCAGCAAGAATACATTCAGAAGAAGAGGAGAGGAAAAAAAAAGCCTCCCAACAAGATGACTCTGCAGAAGGCTCCTCGCGGCAGAGCCGCACGCTGCGCCGCGGCAGTTTTGGTGCAGTCTCTTGCTTCCTGGAAACACACAGTCCATTTCTGTTGCACCTGCTAAATCATTTACGGCTTGGGATTTGTACAAAACACTTCAGTTTTTCTTGTTTTTGCCTCCTGAAGCAGCAATTACAGAGCAGGCAGAAGCAGGCAAGCCCGCAGGAGCTGAGGAGGATCCTGCGGCGGACGGGCTAATTACGGCTCCTCACGTTAAGACGTGGGGCTGCCCTGGCAGGCACCAAGGGCTTCCAGGATGCATTTTATTCTTCCCCTCCCCTAAGACACGACTTAACGAGGTGCTTAGCTGGCTCTAAGGAAACCTGCCTCCCCTCCAAACCTGCATGATGCAACCCTGAATGAGCAAGCCAGACGCAGCAGGATCCGGCCTCTTGAGGTGGTGGTGGGGGTCACCTGTGTTACTCACCCTCCTCTCTGTGCTGGCACCAAGCAGGACCAGGGTGTCAGGAGAAGCAGGACAGGCAGCAGCTCTCCTGCCTTGCCAGGGATGAGCTGTGTGCTGCTGTCTCAGACCCTTATTTCTCCCTCTGCAACAAGCCAGACCTCAGGAAATCCACGGACAATCCCGCTACAAGCGCATGCCACGGGTCCCCTTCTGCTCTCTCTCTTCTTCCCATCTCCAGCATCTTTCCACCACTTGTCCAGGTGGCTAAAGGCAGTGGGACCTGCTCTACCATAATAGCACCAGCTTTGCCCTTTGCTTGGTTTTAGGGTTGTTTTTGTAAACCCCATCTCAAGCAAAGCAGCACTGACGCTTTTGAACATCTCCAGATCTTCAGCTGCACAGGCACTTCTATATTTAGGGACAGCAGCAAATCCCAGGGGGGGGAAAGCTAAGCAGAGTTGAGCATCCACTACTTATTCTGATGGGCACTTCTAGCCCCTGAAAAAAAATCCAGCTCTTCAGGTTTCATGGCTGCCACCACTCAGATCTCTGAGAGAGACGTGCAGGAGGACATCTTCCACAAAAAGCACTGTTTACTGGTTTGATGCCTCCTCCTCAGGACCCCCCAGCAGCACACAAAACTGGACCTTTCTGGCTGGTACACCCAGTTTCAGTGGCAAAAGCAAGAGAGTAATGCAGCGAGCTCAGCTCTGCTTACCCACTGGATTTCAGACCATTACACCAAAGCAAGCATGCAGGGTAACACAAAAAGCAGAAGAAAAAAGGCACTGGTGTAAGAGAACACTAAAGAGCAGATTTTTGTTTCAAGCAGTTTCAGTGCTGCTCTCCACACCGAAGCCAAAAGAGTCAAGGTGGGATCCCCAAACATCATCCCCAGCTCAGCATCAACGCCCTGCACCAGCTCAGCACCACCACCCTGCACTGCATGGGCAAAGGTGCCACCTTCACCTCCTCCAACACGTGGAGGCGTTACGGTACGAGGAAGGCAGATCAGGCTGGGGAACTCCCATTGCCACCCCTTCACATCCTCAGAGGAGAGGACCCTCATGCTCAGCTGCAAACAAACCCTCGAGCCCACAGCACCCCGCAGCTGATGTGGGTATGGTTCATCTTACCACCACCCAGCTCAATGACTCCATCTCCATGGTCCCATCTATGCTGTGCCTCCACCACCCTCCTCAAGAACTGCATGCTGCAAGAAAGACCTGATGGGCAATTTGCACAGTAAATAGCTTTCAGGGGGCCACAAGCTCCTGGGCACGTGCACGAGGGATGTGGCTGGGAATACAACAGCTCATTCAAGACCTAAACCCATTCAGAGGCCCACTGAGTCTAAACACCCACAGAAAGTTGGTGGATCAACAGGTATTTGTGCCCTGAAAGAGGCTGACACCTTAAGACTGTCATAACCTTGGGCTGTGTATAGTGCCACACTGCTGCCAGCCCTGTGGGCAGGCAATGAAAAACCTGAAAAATAAGAAAAAATAAATTTAAATTAAAAAAAAAAAGAAGACAAAAGCCAGCTAAATGCAGGGCACTTGAGCCCAGCAGAGGAGCTGGAGCAGAGAGCTGTAAGCGAGCAAGGACCAACAGTGCTAAACTCCTACCCTGGGAACAGTTTCCAAGCAAAACCAGCAGAATTTGGTAGAAATGGCAGCTGGCTCCA